TTTTCAGTTAACTCAATTGCCACGATGGGAAGGAAGGTGAGAAACGGTATGGTGGAGAGTCCGCAATACTTGAAGATGTTTTAACAAAAGCTGTTTCGCAAGTCTGCAGAACTCAACGGTCGAGCGAGTAGAGGAAGCGACTATAAACCTCTGGGGCCTGGAGGTCTTGAAGAGGAAGCAAGGCCAAAAGCTCAATGCGTGACTGCAGAAAAGGTTTAAAAATTGAAAGGCAGGTACGTCAGTGCTGGCCGGGCACTGATATCACATCCACTTGGTGCGGTCTTTGTTAGATGAGGCACACCAAGGGATCCTCATCCCCCTGCTTCTTTTTTGCGCGCTTTGTACATGTTAAAAAATTGACAAGCTGTACGCTAATAGCGTTACTAGGAGCCTTTAGTAGCGAAACCGGGGCCCTTAGTAGCGTCCTTTGTGACTCGAAACCTTAGGGACAGGGGTGGACACACACACATACGATTCAAAAGCGCCAAACTAACTCGCACCTGCACCTGCTTGTATTCCAATAACAAATGCGGTTATTATCTTCACTCAAGGCGTTCTATTGAAAGAATGTACAACATTGAGACGATTGAGAGAGATCCTCTTTGGGGGGCAAGCAGCTGTTATTCTTGAAATAGGCTTCGTCCAAGCTACGCCGTTCTTGAAAGATATCAAGTTTTGTGCAAATGTATTGGACGTTTGAAACAAATCCTTTTCCTTCAAGGTAAGCATGTGTTTTTTCTTAGAAACAAAGGAGTTTGAAGTGTACATGAAGTCTCCGTGCATTCGCTTTTGCTTGCAAATCGGTCCAAGCACCAAAATGGCACTCACCAGGGTAACATTCCAGCAAAGAATGTAATCTCACATGCCGCATGGAAAACTATCTAATATGTTCTGCAGCACAAATGGAGGCCTTTACTTAAAGAATGTATTTTCCTACAAAAAACAACTTTTTGCACAGCTGAAGGCTTTACGCACATACTACTCACTTCAATAAAGTAGCAGTAAACTTGTGACAAAACAATTGTCATATACTCTACAATATAACTATTGTTAAGCTAAGAGTATATAAACTCTTCATCATCTGTATTTGCTTACACGTGCTTCTCACGTTTCTTATATGGCTTGTCCGCAACTTGAAGCTGCGTTGGTGAAGGGACAAACTACCTGTTTGGAAAGAGTCCAGTGGTGAGTGGAAAACCACCAAATTCAAGGAGTATCCAACATATCCAAATGACTTGCGTAAAGTCTTTGCGGTCGCCTTTAGTGAAGCTCAGCCTTTGATAGAATCTGGGGCAAAGATACCAGCATGGTTCTCTCGAAGGCCATTCAGACCCTCTGAGAGGGCTTTGATTTAACAGCTCCTAGAGGACCAAATTTCTGTCGAGTGGAACGACACGAACAGAATCTTTAGTAATTCGGAATTTGAGCTGCAACTGACAGCCACAGGCGACTCGCCCTTGTATGTGAAAGAAAGAAAGATGTGCCTCTGCAAACTCATAACATCGGCTGTGTCCACAAACAAGCAAAAAACACAATACACACCCCAAAAACACTCAGGCCCTACGAGTACAGCTCCCCAATGCCCAATGGCCCCCCCCCTGTGGAATGCTGATCGACCCGAGATGCGCTTGGCCAGGCTCGCTCGGTGCCTGGGTCCAAAAGGGCAGCAAAGGCCAATGGATGGAGCTGGAGGCGAACGCAGGCACACACCCACGGGTGATCGCCTCGCATCGCTTTCGTTTTGAGACGATACGGGTGATGTGGGCGGATTGAAGGGAAGAAGAGAGGGACATTGGAACATGCAGAATGCAGAAACAGAAGAATGGATATATAACGATATATGTGTTCTGAGGTGCCTTGGTCTAGCCCTTTCTCGGGACCATTGACCATACAGGTTGCTGGTGCTCACTGTTTCTGGTCAATTCTGCCGGTATCTTCAGGGCGCTGCTTTCATGCTGCTGAAAGGAACGTTCGGAACGCCCGACGGAACGCCTAACTGGAGCAGCTCAGAACCCCGACGTCCCAAAGGCGCTTGGTGCCATCTGCAGTGTCGCCACGCCTCAAGAGCTGGTGCTTTAAGGCATTTTAATATCAAATCCGTCATATCAGGCCCTCCACAACTAACTAGCGATCTCAATGGTCAGGGTTTTGTGGAGGCTTACATAGTCTTGACTCCAAAAACCTGGATCGACCTGCAACACTCTGCGACTTCTCAAAAAATCCAAATCGACAAGTCATCGTCCCACATCTCAGGACAGGGCAACACCAAACAAACCTGGGCCAGGCCAGGTGCGCCAGCGGCAACACGCAGGTGGTGTAGCCTTTTGACTATGCGCTCACCACTTTAGGCCCAAACACCTTCTGCTACGTGGTGGTCTCAAATGTTCTCTATGCATAGGCAGGTGTGTATCTCTCTATATATTACAAATAGGTATTGCATGGTATTATACTTTGCTCCCTTTGCTTCGCTGTCGCCCCGTGCAACTTCGAACCCCAGCAACAGCACAAGGCCAAATACATTAAATACAGCACACTGGCTGTCACCCACACAGTCATAAAGCATTCCTGACTGTCAAACGCTTCTCTTCATCCAAGTTTAAGACCTGCAAACATGATCACCCACAAAGGTCCAGAATCTCAATGAATGTCCTCCCCAAATCTTCCAACAAATGATGCCTCCCTGGCCACCGCCCATTAAACAATAACGTGCCTCCGAGTGTGAATAGATGCTCTCAAAAAGCAGCGAGTTGAACACTGGCTGCTCTCGCTGTTCGGCCTGATAGTCAGAAAGCGGATTGGCCGAGGAAGTAAACAGGGGTCATGTAACATAGAAATCATAACAGCTTGGTTTGTAATGTTCAATAACATTCTCTCGGCAGAGGTCCAAACAACTCCACATTTACTCAGTACTCACTCCCTGCCCTCACCATTTTCTGCGCCTGTGAGAACTCCGTCTGATGATGGTCATCTGGATGTCTTAGGCCATTTTTCACCTCCTCCAATTGAAGCTCAGGAGACACGGACGAGACGTCCCTGTGGATTTCCATGCTGTATCTTTAACCACGTCAAGTAGGACATCTTGACCCGTGCATTAAAAGAACCAATGGCAGCTTAGGACGATGAACTTTCTTCAGCCAGAAACATCGTTCTCACTGATTCCAAGACCCAGATTTTCTTGGGATCGGTTACGGGTGAAGAGACAAACATCGTAGATATCTCTCATTCGCTCTGACAAACGTCACGAAGAGACCGAGACGCTAAGATCTGCCGAGAAGCAAGTTGCTCACCTAGGCGGCCATCTGAGAACGCATAGTATGGCATGCAAAAGGCCTGCAAAACATGGCACAATCGACCACAGAAACAGGGACAAACACATTTGCAGTAATTACTAATTACATCTATAATTACTATAGAACATGCAGTCAAGCTGCAGCTCCCAAGCAATAAAACACATACAATAAAGTCGTACGTAATAAGCTTCTATCTCCGGGCGACCGAGTGGGGACATTCGTACTCGGGAACGCTGCCGAAAAAGGGCGCCGCCTTCCGAAAGTAGGCGCCGTGATCCGGGGGCTCCGCCTCATTCGGTGTTTCAAATGGCTGCCCACATCCTGGACACACCAGGACACACTAGACATGAAGAGAAGCACTGAAGGCAACTCCTTCAATAGGGAAGTGGGGTCAGATCTTCGAAAACCCTCTTCTTGTGAAGCTTGGACCAAATAAAGTTGGCTTTAAGGACTTCTTGGCCTCAGGCCTCCGGAACCAAGCGCCAGCGCCAACCTTTTTCAACCCACCAAAAGTTCCACCTCGGTGATTGCTCGGAGTCACCGACTGGGCGCCCTGCATGCCAGAAAGCAAGGCTTAGGAAACAAAAAGTCAGTTCCTTATAATCCAAATATTGTTCACACGCGTTGGTGACAACGATAACGTCAACACGACGATCTCACTGGGGCCGGCGCTGACTGGAAGGGCTCATGCGCCCTAATTCCTGAGTCCGAGGCATCCCAGAGAAAGATGTAATTAACCTTCCTGAAACTCCGTGGGTGAGATGTCATTGTTGCTCTAGAACCGTTTATTTGTCAGCCCAAAAACAAGGACGCTTCGAGAAAAAAACCTCCATCGTTTGGAGTTCGCTGCAGCAGCTGAGCTCGCTCGTGTGGTTTTAGAAGAAAAACCGCTTGCAGAAACTGTTTTTGAAGTGAAACAACATCAAACAGAAACAGGTCATACAGATTTGGGCCACTATGGGGGGTAGAGCAGCTTTGTAGTGTCAATGAACATCATTCCTGCCTTGGATTGAACATGTTGTTAACAAAGAAAGTACACAAGTGTAGCATCCTTGCTACTAGTAGCGATGCCCTTTTCTCCTAGTAGCTACTTGTTCCTAGTAGTATGGCCAGGAGCCCGTAGTAGCATCCTTGCTACTAGTAGCGATGCCCTTTGCTACTAGTAGCCTCTTGTTCCTAGTAGTTAGGCCAGGAGCCCCTAGTAGCGTCCTTGCTCCTAGTAGCGATGCCCTTTGCTCCTAGTAGCTACTTGTTCCTAGTAGTAAAGCCCGGAGCCCCTAGTAGCGTCCTTGCTCCTAGTAGCGATGCCCTTTGCTCCTAGTAGCTTCTTGTTCCTAGTAGTATGGCCAGGAGCCACTAGTAGCGTCCTTGCTCCTAGTAGCGATGCCCTTTGCTTCGAGTAGCCTCTTGTTCCTAGTAGCGATGACCTGTGCTCCTAATAGAATTCTTGTTCCTAGTAGTAAGGCCAGGAGCCCCTAGTAGTGTCCTTGCTCCTAGTAGCGATGCCCTTTGCTCCCAATAGAATTCTTGGTCCTAGTAGTAAGGCCAGGAGCCCCTAGTAGCGTCCTTGCTCCTAGTAGCGATGCCCCTTGCTCTTGTTCCTAGTAGTAAGGCCAGGAGCCACTAGTAGCGTCCTTGCTCATAGTAGCGATGCCCTTTGTTCCTAGTAGCTTCTTGTTCCTAGTAGTAAGGCCAGGAGCCCCTAGTAGCGTCCTTGCTCCGTTCGTAGCGATGCCCTTTGTTTCTAGTAGCTTCTTGTTCCTAGTAGTAAGGCCAGGAGCCCCTAGGGCTGGCGATTTTTTAAAGGATTTTTTTTCGCGCTCTTTTTGGGAATTTTGTTCTGGTAGCGCTTTCACATAGTGGTTCCGTGGCAGGCATAGCATTTTGAGTACCTTCAGTTGCTCATTTTGTGGCAGGCGGAGCATTCTGTGACCCTCGATGTGCAGATTTCGTGGCAGCCACACAACTCTGTGAACCTCGATGTGCAGATTTCGTGGCAGGCAGCACTTCGTGAACCTTCAAGCGCGGACCTCGTGGCAGGCGCAGCATTTTGTGAACCTGGAAGTGCACCTTTCGTGGCGGGTGGCAAGTGCAGCACTTTGTGAACCTGGAAACCTTTTTGTGGCGGGCGCTGCACTTTTTTGAACCTCAAAGCGCAGATTACACTTCAGAGCTCACGCGTGAAAGAATGAAGCAATGCGAGGATCACAGCTGGAGCAAGGAAGCTAGGGGCAGGACAAAGCGTGCCTTTTTTCGCGTCGGCTGGTTCACATCACTTTGGATAGGTGGTTCGAAGCGCAGCTATCCTAAGGGATCAAAAAACAACAAAAAGGAAATCATTCAACTGGGATCAAAAAGACCTAAAAAGGGAATCAAAATTATATTCTAGCCCACTGAGGATGGTTGGGGTTGAGCATCGGCTCAAAAGCCTTCAACAGAAACACATCGGACCAGGCAGACACAAAAGAACGAAAGGATAGACATGCTGGACATTGCTGAGGGGCGCGCTATATCAACCACCTCTGTGGCTTTGTCACAGCTTTTACAGTATGGAAACCATAACTACTTGTAGCCTTTTTATAGCATTCACTGCGCAGAGGTGTTGGAAGCTAAGGTCGGCCCTATTATCCACCTATTTGGCATTGCCACTGTGTTTAGAGCATAGAAGAATGGAAGGGACAGCAGCAGCCACCTCAAAGGACCAAAGACAAGGACTAACATGCCAACACTCCAAAAATGTGCCAAACAAAGGCATGCGCAAGCCTCCAGCACCCCCCAAACATATGGCAAATTAACGACAGGCAGCAAAGACACTGAATTGAAAGCCTTCAAAAGTTAGATGGCCCGGGTTGGTTCCGCAAGTGCCCTGCATGGAGGCGATATACGTTGACAAACAGGAAGCGCTTCACACCTGCTTCAAGATCAGGAGCAGACAATGAAAGGATATGTGCAACAAGTTCCCCAAAGTTCCCAGAGAGACTTAGACGACGTGCAATATGTGATCTGCAAGTGCGATGGGCGACCCTTTACATAGTTAGTCGTGGCAGGCGCAGTGCAAGAGTGCAGATTTCGTGGTGCTGGAGGGGGGTTGGGGGGGAGAGCGCAGCGCCTCCCCCCCAAAGCGAACCAAAGGTTAAAGCACAGCACCACAAAAGAAATCACTAGAAACTGTGTACCCTATCGCCCCCTCAGTGAAGGGCATCTAAAAGTGCACGGAAGGACCTAAGGCAACTGAAGCCAAAAGCAAACTGCGGCCAATAAGCTACAAGAGAAACGACCAAAGGCATCAAAAAGCATCAGTGAAAGAACAAGGAGAAAACCATAGGAAACCTGCAGACCAGAGGACCAGGAGAGGACCTGCAGACCACAGGGCCAGGAGAGCAGCAGAAGACGCCTATCAAGGATTTTTTTATTGATCCTGTATTACCTTTGTTTGATCCTTTTATCTTTTTTTGATGCTCTTTATATTTTTTTGTTGATCTAGATGCCCTCGGCAGCGGTCATGCCCTGGCAACATAGCAAGATGGTTGGAAAGATGATCAAAAGAAGAATCCGAGACATGCTCCAAAACCACCAAAAGCCAACACCCGCCAAACGCCAGAAGCCGCCAAAAGCCAAAAGCCACCACAAGCCAAAAGCCGCCAAAAGCCAAAAGCCGCCAAAAGCCGACGCCCGCCAAAAGCCAAACGCCACCAAAAGCCAAAAGCTGCCAAAAGCCAAAAGCCAACAAAAACCAACAGCCGCCAAAAGCCCAGAGCCACCAAAAGCCACAGCTAACAGAAAGCTATCAAACCACTAACGGTGAAAAAAAAAACAAAAAGGACGCGAAAAACCATCCCAAAAAAATATGAGTTCCGCCCCTAGTAGTGTCCTTGCTCCTAGTAGCGATGCCTTTTGCTCCTGTAGAATTCTTGCTCCTACGTAGTAGTAAGGCCAGGAGCCACTAGTAGCATCCTTGCTCCTAGTTCACCAAGAAGTCCACCAAAACATGCCAGTTTTCCAGCCTGGCAGCCCTGTCTGTAGTAGCGCTCCGTGAGTAAAAAGGCGTCCAGGATGGTGGTGTTGCCTTGGAGTGGGGAGGGAAAAGGAACTCGTAAAAATCATAAGACATCAGTTATCAGAGTCTTTCAATGAGAAGTCTGGATCATTGAGAATTCAATGAAGGGTCAGTGATCACGGTTCGAAGTGACCGTCCTGCATGATCTTGGAAGTCCAAGCTCAGGGCGAGTTAAAAAGGATGAAATAGATTGAAACAGCCATCCTCCTAACTGAACGCAGTCCGTTTTGCTTCTCCAGTTTCGGGAGAGAGCATTCGCCTCACGTCTGTCTTGTGGATTTCTTGGGCGTGTCGATATAAGCAAGGATAAGATATATCACGACTATCTACGCCCAAAGAGAAAGCGCATTCTGGAGAAGCTATGAAGGAATTACGGAGCATTCTAAATCTCAGTTGGTCCAATGGTGTTCCTGCAGACCTAGTAACACCGCGTGCCAACGCATTAACCAACGGAAACAGAAAAAATACAAACGCTGTCATTCCTTACAGGTCTGTAGATTCTGTAGTATCGCTCCGTAACGTTGCCCATTCACAGGAACAGCATGTTGTGCTTTTTTCCTTTTTTTTTTTCGATGGAGTCTCCACGTGGTCAATGCTCCGTTGCCAAACCACGCGACCTCTTCAAGACTTGGACACCACACGATCCAGGGACCAGTGTCGAGCTGTATAGGGGGCAGACTCATGCCACAGCCCATCCTCTGGTTTTATTCGTGCGGTTTGGCGATGACTCCATGACCGTCTCTGCTGTGTGATCCGAACAAACACTCAGTTCAGTTGGGAGCGAAAAGCAGCAGGCGCTGGGCCTGTGAAGACTGCAACAAACCTCAACCAAGGCCTCCGTCTGCAACCAGCGCCGAGAATGACATGTCAGCTCGAAGAAGGCCTGGCATCAAGGGCCCAAGGCCCTTAAAATGTCCATCGAACTTATATCCCAAACATCTTGCTGCAACTGTTCAAGTCTGCTTCCCTTGCACGCACCATGGGTGGAAGTGGATGCACCAACATGTCCTTACAACATTAGAGCAGGAAAGAACGTTGCCTTATTTCGGAGTGAACCACTTTTGTTGGATAGGTTGGAGGCCATGGCTACTAGCTTGGAGGCCATTGCTTCTAGGTGCCTGCCATGGCGTTCTGTCGGATTCCGTACCTGTCGCTCCGTAAAGTCTTGGCCGACAGCGCCCACATAGCCTGCCAAAGCGAGCCGGGACGGACCAATTAGATATCGCTGTGAGGACGCTCGGTCTTCTCGTCAACTGTGGAAGCAAGTGTGGTGGGGTCAGCAGCCACACTTCATGACTTCATGTGTCATCAGTGGTGCACGCGAACAGCTGCTGGAAGGTAATATATAACCAAAGGATATTGACTTCTGAGATCTCCGAGCATACAAGGGGGGACCCGCCACAAGTTATATGGAGAAGCATGCATGAAGCTATGAGAAGCCTCAAACCAGTTAGGGACAAATAGATAGAGATAGATATTAAGGGAGAGAGAGCTGAAAAATAGAAAGGGGATGAACAACAAAAATAGGCGGAGAGGGAAAGGGAGAGAAACATCAGGTGCTCTGACAGGCAAGGCCAATTCAAGACTTCCCGGTGGGAGGAAGCCAGTCTCTATGCAGGGCACAAGAACATGTCGAAGTGTCCCCATTCTGGCACACCAACGTGCATTACTCACATCAATTCACATCACTTAAGTAACACCACCGCTATGATCCTTTGATTGGCTTCCCATGAGGTATCTCCTCCCGAGGTGCCACAATGAATCGGCGACAGGCCCTGTAAGCAGCAGGCCCTGCCTATCCGAAAGCGCCGGGGCACTTCGGGAACACCTGTAACAAGTGCCACGCTAGTAGTAACAAGTGCCTTACTAGTAGTAACAATGTTTGCTAGTAGAAACAAGTGCCACGCTAGTAGTAACAAGTGCCTTACTAGTAGTAACAATGTTTGCTAGTAGAAACATGTGCATCGCTAGTAGTAACAAGTGCCTTGTTCCCGTCTCAGCGGGTCGCGACAGCGTGACGCGTGGGGCAGCAGCACGAAGCGGCTACGTAGGCCTGGGCTGCCATCGCTGCTTTCGTCGATGGACATCATCTCAGAGGTGAATGTCTTATTTGTATTTCAATGATTGTGTATGTCATACTATTTCATCATCTCTTAAGCTTAGATCTAATCTATGATCCATTATGCGTTTTGTGACTTCGAGCTATTTCCACCCGAACAGGTTTGTCCCGTCACTCGTCGGACACCTGCATTTTGGATGATCGGACAGAAGCGGCAGAGCATCGTCGGACCTACCCGGGTCCTGTCGGGTGGGAAAAAGGGGCTCAAAACAGGTTGTGCGATACGGCACGAGACCTTCCGTCAAGGCATGCGGCAGAAAAGGGAACTCCCAGGGCCATGTGCTTGGTCTTTCTTGTGCTTGTTATGAAGAACTCACCAAAGCTAACAACCAGTCCATTTGCCTTGCGAAACTGGTACCCGATAAGCTGGATTACTCTAGGATGTTTTTCAACATGTTATTGCATGTCTTTGTTTAACTACACTTGCAACGAAATTGGTCATACATGGTCATACCTTCCTTCGGCTTGGGTGGACGTCCACCCTCTCGAAGTCGCCATACCGCCGGTTTTGCAAGTGGCTCCAAGAGTCTTTGACATCCCCACAAGGTGGAGGGCAAGCGACCTGTCAAACGGTCAACACCAAGCAACACGAGTCACCCTCCTAGAAGGAGGTCCCAGGAACCTTCTGGAGAAAACTGGTACAGTATATTCAGTATATTGTTGTCCTTTGTAATGCACAAAGTATATATAATTCTGAGGTTCCTGATGCGTCATGAAGTTCCTGAAAAGCTGTGAAGCATGGTAAACTCTGCTTACACCCATAGGCAGTCTTGGCTCTCCAAACACCGCTCCACAGCGCGCGCGGGTGGCCACACCGTGAGTATGATCCAATTGGCAGCTGATGGATGGTAGTCCGTCAAGGCAAAGCCCATGGAGGAGCGATAAAAGTCAAACCTGCTTCAGCCGACTTGGCGCGGGCATATAGCCTCGTTGGATCTGTTATGAGATCACGACATATATCTGGCAACCTCAAAAACAGCCATATATTTTGTGTTTAATGCATAAACATACATATATATATAATATATATAACATGTAGATATATAGTGTATCCATCATGTTGAGAAAGGTGTTCATCTGCCTTGTGGGGTTGTGAATGTTGACCATAGTTGGAGGTATTTGGAGCTTAATTTTAAAGAGCGTCTACGCCTGAAACAAACTGAGCAATTCTGACTTCACCATCCTCCCAACCTGAGAAAGAAGAACCACTTTGACCTGATGTTTCAAGAAACACACATTGACGTCTATCTGATCTATCTTAACTCTATTGTGATGAAACCACATACCTAACCCCACTAAATACCCCACCCTCCGAAGTCTCCACATTGCCAGGTCACTCCACCCCATAAAGCACCAGCTGGTCGTGGCCGTTGTGGCGTAAGAAGTAGGGACGGCTCAGCAATAGGTCGAAGGTGGCAGCCACGCAACGAAGGGCCTCTTCCCGGTGACGAAACCCGTGACGATCCCAAACGAGGACGTCAGGGAACGAGAACGTGAGGACGGTCTAGGAGGTTGTTACTAGTAGAATTCTTGTTCCTAGTAGCAACGCCAGGAACCCCTAGTAGCGTCCTTGCTCCTAGTAGCGATGCCCTTTGTTCCTAGTAGCCTCTTGTTCCTAGTAGCAACGCACTACCAGAAGCCAGGCAGGGGTGTCCAAGTGGTGTTCACCAAGGTCTTGGCCACCTCTGCATCTCCAAGTGGCAGCGGTTTCTAGAATGTTCCCCAGTGTCTTTGACCACCAGAAAGGTGCTTGACCAGCTCTGGCTCCAAAAAAAGGTTGATTTTTCATTTTATAGTGCCTGGGTGCTGTGGGCCTGGCACAGGTGGCCACTACCAGAAGCCAGGCACGGGTCTCCTCAAGTGGTGTTCAGCAAAATCTTTCCCCATGTACTTGGCCACCTCTTCTGCATCTGCAAGTGGCAGTGGTTTCTAGAATGTTCCCCAGAGTCTTTCCCCACCAGAAAGGTGCTTGACCAGCTCTGGCTCCAAAAAACATTGATTTTGCATTTTATTGTGGGCCTGGCACAGGTGGCGTGGCCAATATTAGAAGCCAGGCAGGGGTGTCCAAGTGGTGTTCACCAATGTCTTTCCCCACCTGAAAGGTACTTGGCCACCTCTGCATCTCCAAGTGACCAGCTCTGGCTCCAAAAAAGGTTGATTTTTCATTTTATAGTGGCCTGGGCGCTGTGGGCCTGGCACAGGTGGCCACTACCAGAAGCCAGGCAGGGGTCTCCAAGTCATGTTCATCTCCAAGTGGCAGTGGTTTCTAGAATGTTCCCCAGGGGCTTTCCCCACCAGAAAGGTGCTTGACCAGCTCTGGCTCCAAAAA